TAATATAATTTATACCCTTTGCATTCTTCACCTACCAATAATCCTAGTGGCAACTGTGGGCTATTGGTGTAGTACAAAGGCAATCAGTTATAGTCACCACATTCAGCAAATATAATAATGCCTTCCTATATACATAAAAATGTAAGACTGTCATTTCATAGTCCCCATTGGAGGATTTGTAGTGTCTCATTACAATCCTGGATTTGCATGAAATCATGGTGCGGTCAGGGGAGCAAAAGAGAAGGTAGGTTGCACAACACTGGTGGCCGTGGCATGAGAGCAAGGAGGACAGGACAATGATATGTGGAAAGAGGTGGTATAAAACCACAGAAGTTTGAATAAAGCAGGAATGGATAGACATAGAGGAAAATGGTGGTTTGAAACAACAGCAGTGGTTTGAGTAAAGCAGGGACATTTTCTCACTTCTTATGGTTTTCAACAGCTGCCCTAGATAAAAATCTTATTTTTGCTCATCCCATCTGAAAGAATCTGATGTGGATTGTAGGGACTTTGGGTATCATTTGATTCATCATCTCATGCGGCCAACAGGAAACTATCTTTATCCAAACTGTGCATTGCAAGGCTCTGTGTAATTTAAATTTTGATTTGATGTTTCAAGCACTCCAAGAGTTCGATGTGATTTTTAAAAGAGGGTGGGGGAAGGAATTGCCAGCACAAAGTCAGATTTGCAATTGTTTTCAGGACAGATGGAAATATTATTCTCTGCTCTCTGCACTGCAAGAGCTTTCTCAGAGGAGTCGTTTTCCCATAGAATAAATTCTGCTTAATTTTACTCATTTTGTGGTCACACAGCTGAGTGATGCAATACCACCGGGAAAGAGCAACTTTTAAAAGAATACAAGCGACTCTGAGTGGTGAAGCTTGGAAAGTTAGGATTCAATTTTCAGTCTACAACAGATGTTCAATATGAAGAGAGACACTGAACATTGTATTAAAATTAAAACAGTGATTAGCAAAACACCTTTATCAAGTTCTCTCACTATAGCGTATAATACAATTGGTTCATTAAAAAAACCGCACTAAATGTGATTTTAACTAACTCGGACTTTCTTTTTTTCTCTGAGTGCAAGCTGGTATGAACAAAAATTATTTTCCTCTTTCTTCCCCAAATGGAATGGGCTTCCCAAAGTATATAATGGCAGATATACCATCTGATGGTCACAACTTCCAAAGATGAGTTGCCTAATTGCTTTTATGAACTTGGCAGTGCCCTTCAGATGAACAAGTACAACAGCTGCTTTGTGTGAAACCTTCATTGGAGGCTGAACAAGGAAGTGAGCAGAGGAGGAGTTCACATCCAGAAGGAGTTCTATTTAGATGATTGCTGCTTTGGGGAGCTCAGAACCATGGGCATTTGTGAGGGTGTTTTGAGGCTAAGGCCCAAAATGCTGTCTCAAGGTGTGTGTAGGACAAAGAGACATGGTTTAAATAATGCACACGCACACGCGCACGCGCGCGCGCACACACACACACACACAGTATGTGTGTATATATATATATATATATACCTAACCTCTGCCCTGGTTTTCTACATGCATTTGGTTCTTTCCTCACCGTCCCTTTTACAGATTCTTAACCATCTCTTCCTTCTTCTTCTCATATTGACTAAAAAAACCAAACCCTCTTGACAGCTGTGCCAGATCAACAGCATGGAAGGAAAGTATATCTGAGGGGAATGTAATGCATGTTAACGAGTTACTGTATGCATGACTTTCTCAAAGTTCAAAGAAATTATCTCCAGACCTTCCTCAGTTCAGAAATGCTACCTATCCATCAACACTGCTCCACAAGACTCCACTGGATTCTTTCTGAAGATCTCACTGTCAAGAAAATAGCACATTGAACAGTGGCTGGAAAAGCATATGGAGAGATATTGTTAATTATGAGGGAATACTGTGTATTTTTAGCATGTAGTCTCCTCCGCCAAGTATAAAGTATGCATCACCAAGCTCAAGCACATTTAATGGCTCTCCAAAAATGTGATTTTACTTGACAGCACTGCTTTTTTCTTTTTAAAAAACTTCTCAGAACAGCTCCCTCTAGACTAGGAAGAAAATAAGCAGGTATGAGTAAGATTCAAAGCAAACCTGTGCAAGTCTACTCAAAGGCAAGTCTCATGGAGTCCAAAGGGGGTTGCTCCCAGGTAAGTGTGTATAGGATTGCAAGCTTAATGTTGAAAGGAAATCATGAGGAAATCTAGTGATCTATATACTATTATTTTTCTTTAAAACAATTTTTTAAGCATGTAAATGTTTGGCTCGGGGACATGAAATAACCCCCCCTTGGCCTGCTCAATGGGTGGGGATGTTGAGAGTCCAACAGCAACTGGTGAGATTCTGAATTATCCCTGAATTAGGCAAATGATAATAGGGTATCCTAAACATAACACATTCATTCTCCTTTGCATCCTAAGGGATTGCACTGCATATTTTGGGGGCAAGGCTGCCATTACACAAAAGAACCGAAATGGAGACCCAACAGTGAAACTAGGCCCTACTTTTTGAAAAATGAAATAGGATTGACTTTGCAATTTTATTCATTTATGTGATTTAAATCCTGCCCTTTCTCCCAAAGGAGCCCAGGGTGGCAAACTACAAAGTGATAAAACAATAAAAACACATTAAAAAGCAATGCTATTTTTCTAGAAAAAGATGTGCTGAAACTGACTACAAACTCCTCCATTGTTCTCTTAGAATGGCAATGCCACCCACCTGAAAGGTGCCAGAACTGAGTTCCAGTGAGTTCCAGATGGGAAAAAAGACACCTTCTTCAGGTATGCTGGGCCGAGGCCATTTAGGGCTTTAAAGGTCAGCACCAACACTTTGAATTGTGCTCAGAAACGTACTGGGAGCCAATGTAAGTCTTTCAGGACTGGTGTTATATGGTTTCAGCAGCCACTCCCAGTCACCAGTCTAGCTGCTGCATTCTGGATTAATAGTAGTTTCTGGGTCACCTTCAACTTCTTATGTGAACACACACCTAACAAATGATTTCCTGAAAACACATTGTGTTTGGCTAGCAGGACTGGTGTGTAATTCATGGAGTATGAGGGGTAAGAAAAGTAGCCACGGTGCTCAGAATTGCTCTGGCCTTGTTGGAAGTAGTAAGAGCTACAGGTCCATTCTTTCTACCAGGAAGAGGGGTTTACAGTTGATTTCCAACCCCTCAGAATTCTCATTCGCCAAGGGGTATCTTTTCTCTGCAAACTTTTACGACATACTTTATAGCTTATTGACATTATCAAAGATCACAGAAGCTGATCCAGTACAGAAAATTCCCTAAGATGTAGCTGTTGGTGGGCAGTAGTGTGTGTCTGTTCCCTGCCTCCCTCCCATCCAGAAACCTTTAAAATGCTCCAAGAATGTGAGAACAGGAACCAGCACATGCAGTAATTGGCGCTGGCATCTGAAGAGAAATAAAAGTTGAACTGATGCCTCAAAAGCTATTTGGTTTTGACATTGCAGATTCAAAACACAAGACTGTCCCTTTTCGATTTTCCAACCTCGTGTGGCATGGGGCTTGGCTCCTACCCGTTGCAAAGTTACCAACTGCTGTTTGCTTGGTATTAGTTGCACATAGCTTCATTCTTTAAAATGCTAGGTGCCATGCAGGAGATTTTCAATGCCTGCATCCAGATGGAAATGTTTTTAGCACAGTGATCCTGGTATCTGACTTAAGGCTTGTTTGATTTCCATTATCCACATTTTCATCAGTGGAGGCAGATACTGAACATGAGGCATCACGTTCTGCTGCTCTGCCAAGCAGGTTATGTCTAATACCCAGCCATTTGCAGAGAACACCTCTTTGCATAAGAGCTTTGATCAGTTTGGTTCATGGGAGATGCAAAGCATTAGGCACAGGGAAGGTTACCTTTCCTTTTCTTTTCCAATAGCCCGTAAGGCTGTAGTCTTAGGCTTACTTACTTGGGCACAAAGCAGCAAGCTGTTCATGGGAGGCTGGGAAGTCTCACTGGAGGAACCTGCATGAGAACACCTTGTCCGAGACCAAGAATACTGTGTGCTGGAAGCATTCACAACACAGGCTCCTTGAGCACAATATGGAAGACGTATCCCCTAGGACTGCTGGAACTCACAATGTTCTATGCAGCAGGGAATAAGGGAGCTCTTTGGGCCTCTAGATCTCCTGCTCTACTTCTGCTAAAAAAAACCACACCTGCCAGTCGAGGGGCTATTGATAAAAGTGTGGCAAAGGATGCCCAGGGAATTATTCTACACCTCTTATTACAATCCAAAATGAACCTGCAGTGATGGTGCTTGGTTAAGGATTTGACCGAGCGTTATGAACTGGTCAAATTCACACCCTGAACCACTACAACACCAATTGGTATTAATTCTGAAATCAACCGTGGGATAATTCATTTTTGCATATGATCCATGTGGCCAGAAATGCCTATGAAGTTTAAAGGGAGTCTCATGTCATATCCAGGATATAAGCATTTGTTGGACTTTTGCTAGTTTCACTAGTTGAGGTTCTCCCCAAAGAATCCTGTCCATTGGTGTTTGATGAGCTGGGAGTTCTACCCTCACCTTCAGCCTCCAAGAATGACATTTTCCCAGTGGGAGGAGGAATGACAGGTAAACTGGTTTAGATCGGTAGTGTAGACATGCATTTTGGGTTTTGCTTAATGTGAACTCTGCTTAAAATGAATCTGAGGGTTGGTGCCATCCGGAATAGGGTTGTAATGCAAAAATATGAAGTGGTATTCAACTAAGTTTTATTGAGAGGAGACCTACTGAAATCAATTAACATGACTAAGTTAATTTCAGTTGGTCCACAGTCATACCGAGCTGAATTATCGCCCTAAGAGTTTGCAGTGTCAGTGGACAAAGATTGTTGGAGGAATTAGGAATGGTTAGGGATTATGGGAATTGGGTGGTATCTGCAGGGCTTCTGGTTGAATAGAAAGATCTTCATTGTGCTTCATTCTTCCAAGGGCTAAATAAAACCATAATCCAAATAGGAGAATAGAGTTTATTATATATATAAAAATATTCAAAATGTGCAATATAGCGACAGCATCTGCTTACGGGGGGAAAAACATATTTTGTAGAAATAAATAAAATATACCACACAAGTTTCTTTAAAAAACAAATAAATCAGTGCACAGTAATCATACACAGCCAGTTTCACAAAATAACATATATTTTAACTTGCCTATAATTTTGCTTCCCATCTTAAAAAATAAGAAAACATGCCACAGAGGCAGTGTGTCATCTCCACCATCCTTTTTCTCAAACCATTATCTTCTAGCTGCTGAAGACTGGAATTTGCTGTTGTTTAATATGCCACATTCAGGCATACGTTGTTATCTCTTCTGAGTCACCAGCTACAATAATTTCCTGAATAAATACAATCTTTAAAAGCACCTTTTTAATTATCTAGATCCTAATCAAAACGGGAAGCTGAGAAATACATCTTTAGATGAAATAGCTATGAGGTAGCCAAAGGAGGCAAACTGGTACTTCAGAAAAAGGACTTGCCTTGTGTGCAGGTTGGTATCATAACTATAGTTCCCCAAAATGTGAATGAAGCCTCCATGCAAAACTGCAGACAGTTGCTGAGAGAATAACCATGAAAGAAGTGGAGGAAGAAAAAAATTTAGAGGAAGGGAAGAAAGAAATCTAATATACAGGATGGGTGGGGTGGGGGAAGAGACATGATAAAGGTGAAAGATAGGGGATAGCTCAGTTGGTAGAGCACAAGACTTTTAATCTCTGGGTTGTGGGTTTGAACCCCTCATTCGGCAAAACATTCCTGCGTGGCCCTCAGGGTCCCTTCCAACTCTAAAATTCTATGATACTGCGACTTATATTCCTTGAGCGGAGAAAAATTGCATTAGAATAATGAATTCTGGTACCTGGATAGGATACAGGGGTGTACCCAGAAGTGGATCCTGAATGCACCAGAGTGGAGCTCGCAGAAAAAGCTCTCATCTAAAGTACTGAGCCACGACATGCTTAAAAGTCTCTCGCCACTTAGCAAAACGTTCATACATGATATCACACACACACACCCGGGATCACACTGTGGTTCAGACTATAACTGTGCCACAAATGGAAAACTGGAAATAACAACTTCCACGTAGAACAAGAAAGTGGGTTTAAAACACGTTGTCCTGCCAAATCACATGCATGTATCAAGGGATTTAGAATGTAGAAACTTCCTACCCCTTTTATAGGAGGAAACATTCTCAAGGATGATCGCTGCAACCATGGTTTGGAGTTGGCAGGTGGTCGCATGGGCAAGAGGCAAGTCATGAGGAAGCGTTGCTTCCCCAGCTGAGCTGACTGTCTAGCTCAGTGGCTTGCACCTATCAAGAGGAGTGGAGGCAGCGACAGGACACACTTACCAGTGACTGGTGGATGTGCAGAGTACTAAAGAGTGACCATGACCAGGCAGGCTCCCTATCAGTTTCATTGCCAACGCCAGTGGTTTACAACCAGTGTGCTGTGGCACCCTGGGGTGCCTTGAATGATGGTCAGGGGTGCCAATGGCAACATTGGCCTCTGTCCCTCTTTCCTTCTCTCTCTGATGCCCTCTTGCATCTCTGTCTCCCAAAGGCTTGCACAGCTGTTTGTTGCAGCAGCCCTGGCTACAAGCTCCCAAGGAGAGGGGAAAGGAGAGAGGAGAGGAGTTTGAGGGAACACTCCACAAAGAAGGGTGTTTGAAAAAGAGTGAGAGGCTGCCAGCTCTGCAGGCAAGGGGTGACATAACTGGGCTCCTGAGTCCCAAAGGGGTGCTGCAGAAAGAATGTAGCTGATCAAGGGAGCTGTGGGCTCAGAAGGTTGAAAACCTCTGGTTGAGGCCAAGCAATTAGTTTTATGATTTCAGAGTGCCAGAGAAATAGAGGCTACTCAGAGATCAAATATCTTTTTGCACAGTGGAACATTTTAACACAAAATATAAAGGATAAGTAAACTCGAAAAAACAACAGAAAGACAATTTTTCTGAACTAACACAGACCTACCTTTTTGTCTTCCTTGTACCACTTAATCCGTTTACCCACTGCTGTTTATCAAAATTGACATTAAAGTTGACAGTTGTGTCTTTGCCCTCAGTTTTGACCAACTTTTCTTAAACAGAAAACCCTCTGGGCAAAAAAGCACATCAATTTTTCTGTTCTACATAGCATATTACAAGTTGAACACTGACAGATTGTTTCTAACTATAATGGCGGCACATTCATTGCTTAGCATAAACAGTAGCACTTATTTCCTCCAGATGGAAAGTAAAGTAACAGCAGCAGTTGTAACTTTTCCTAAGTATTGCATTACAGCCTCTTTCTGGGCAAAACCAGTCCCATCTAGAACCACTTTTAAATGCAGTATGTCACACACGGAAGTAACTTTGGATAATGGAGAGAATGCAGATTGCATGCAGACGGCAATGGAAACGTATGTTTAATTTCACTGTGTCCAAATTTGAAAGAATTATGTGGGGTTATGGGACAGACTACCCCATCACTATGTGCTTTCCAGGTAGAGAATTTGTCTCATTTGAAGGAACCTTTCATTTGAGCTAAATAACATTTTGCGTAGCTAATCTGTTTATCTCATGCTCGGCAGCACAGGCTGACAGCCTAACAGGATGCATACAAATGATTGTAGCATTAATGTGATGGAAAAGTTTCTTAAAGATCTAAAAAAGAAAAAGGGTAGCACACCTAATTGTGTTAAGTAGGGTGTTTAAAGTATATTATCTCTGCAAAGAGGTTTGCCATCATTTTTTTAACCAGCAGCAGGGATCTAAAAAGTAGAAGGCAGGAGCCTTGGTAGTCCCTTCAAAACACTGCTGTTTTACCTCAGAATTGTTTTAAAAGCTGAGGAAAGTAAGCCAAAATAAGAGCAGGAGTGGTTTTAATAGCTTACTATTGTAACTAACTGTCAGAAGTGTTATGATGAAATGAGTTTCACACAACTTCTATTTTGATTCTGGCAAAACAACCTAAAAAACAAACAATTTTTGTGTGTGTAAAGCCCCTCAAATAGTTTCTGAAGTCCAAAGGGAATTTAGCTCTTTACAGAATGTTAAAACCACATGCCATTGTCTGCCAGGATCTTGAAACAAGTTTGTTACTTATTGCAAAGTCTGGCGTAACAAAGCAAACTTCTGAGGTGCCTGCCTCTGCTAAAAGAGGGAAAACAACCCACAAACAGTTTAGTAGAGATGATTTGCCCTATCTATTTTTACTGGTTCCTTTTCATTTTTATAGACAGTCATAATCCTGTGTGCCAAGATCAACGAAATAAAAGCACTGCTGGTCTTTGTAACTGACTCACACATAGGAGAACAAGTGGAGACCTCTGAATTATTATTTTTTTTGCAGTTTAGGGATAAGGAAGGAAACGGTTCTTTCCACTTGCTTTCCTCTCACCTGACAAAAAAAACCCAGAGAAGCAGTTGCCTGCCAATCCAGTTGATTTCAGATCTCTTTATGTTGACAGGCCTAAGAGCAAGGCGACAACTGTTCCCTGTGCTTTGCCCCTACAATGAGAGTGGCGCACACAGAGATCTTGGGTTGCACTGTGAAGGGTGCAGGTGGCCTAATCTGCTCCCAATCCCTTGATTAGTCTGAAGGCTGCATTCGTTTCTGGGTAACATTCTGAGGGCCACCTGCCAGTGGTGGGTGGGGCCAGAGCCAAAAGCGAGTGGGGCAATGAATCAGGGCCACTGAGGAGTGAGGCATGTGGGGGTGGGGTGCTGTATTTGGACCCCGGGCCTCAGTTTCCCAAGCCTTGCTCAAGAGGCAACCCCCAAGGACTATGCTCTGCTACGACTCTGACGTCCACACCCCAACACAGCTAAATGAACTAGCAGTGCTGGTTCAACAACATTTTCTCCATAAGAGAGAATGAACGCAATACATTTTAATTCAGACAACCAGAGCTGGAGAGACAATTCCCATCTGTGAGTCAGGGCTCACAAATATTTCACCATTCCCTCTTGAGGTCAGAAGAAGCTGTAGTTGCTTCCGTGTGATTAAGAGTACCCTGACACAGATTCTGAAATAACTGCAGACAGAACGGCATGGCTAATGGGGCAGGTGCCACAACTCTATGCCAAACTGCCAATTAAATGGGTTTTGTGATTAAAACCAAAAGACAAGGCTATGGCTCTTGAACTGCTTCAGTCGTGATTCAGCAATTTCATGAAATCTACGTTAAGTATGAATGTTCATTCTGTCAGAAAACAATGTTGGTAAAGGGACTGTTTGTGTGAAAGCATCTGAAAGCAGGATTTAGGTCTGTTAGAAATAGCCTGTGCCTAAAATGAAATCTCTCTCTCTGTCTGTCTTTTTTAGATCAAGCTTTTAGAGCCACACAGGCCTGAAAAGAACATATTAAATTATGGATTTCATGTAAAAAAAGACATTTTAAAAATGTATCACAGTAAATGCACATGGTTTATCTAGCTGCTTACGGTGGATAAACCCTGGAAGTCATTTGCTACAGATTGCAGCTGAAGGTCTGCTCACACATGCAAGCATCTATTTTTAATTTTATAGCATTGTGTATAGGGAAATACAGTGAGCAGTGTGAAGAATCCTTTTGTGCAACAGTATTTCCCCAGCAGCTAGTATTCAGAAGTGATACTGCCTCTAATACTGGAAGTAAAATAGGAATCATGACTAGCAGCCACTGACAGCCTTATCCTCCGTGCATCTGTCCAATTCCCTTTTAAAACCGTCCAAGTTGGTGATCATGGTATCTTGTGGTACTGAATTCCACCGTATACCTATGGGCTGTCTGCAAGAGGAGTTCCCTGTCTCTCCCACCATTCAGCTTCATTGGATGACCTGGGGTCCTAGTCCCAGTCAATCCATCTTCTCCACACTGTGCAATCTTGCACACCTCTATCATGTCCTTTCCCCTTCTTGCCTTTCTTCTAAACTCAAAAGCCCCAAATCTTGTCACCTTTCCTATTGAGGGAGTTGCTCAAGCCCACTGATCATTTGGGTCGCCCTTTCTACACCCTTATCCAGGTCTACACTATGAATTTTGAGGTGTGCTGACAACAACTGTACACAGTATTCCAAGTGTGGTTGCATACAGGTTTGTATTAAAACATTATGATACTGGCTGCTTTGATTTCAACTCCTTTTCAGATCTGTGACACATAGCTCATCTTTCTCACAGCAGCCACACATTGTGCCCCTGTCACTGCCAATCCTTCCGTAAAGAAGTTCTCTTCATTCATTTGGACGAACCCATTTGTTGATGGTTTCTAGGAAAGCAGTCAAGATGTCTTTCTTTTGTTAGGTTTTATGAGTTTTAGCCGTATGTTAACGTTTCTGGCTACTGCTTTTCTTTTGCATATTTTTATAGTGGTTCTGCTGTTCTCTAATATTTATTCTATCAGGATTATGTTTTTATTGTCGGGAACCACCTCAAGAGCCCTTATGGTGGTATATAATAAAATAAAATCTTACATCACAAAGTATTAGAGGAGCTCGCTGTAATTTAAGAAGATCTTCTAAGGCTTTAAGAAGCACTTTTGGGACAAATCACAGCTCCTTAAACTGCTCCCCTCTAATTGAAAATTATTGCCCTCTCGGTATTCTAAATATCATTTTCCATCAACAACGGTGTGCTACAGCAGCTTCTGTTTACTACTGCACTCAGTATTTTTTAATCTGCTGATCGCTTTGATGAAAAAAACACCCTGGCCTACTTAGCGTACTGCTATAAACAGTGCAGCTTGCATTCTGGGAAATGGTGTGCTACACACTGAGCACCACGTCTTTAGGACAGATGGCGTTCCCATACCAAAGAGCCAAATCACCACCTACACCGAAAGAATGAAAGAGCCAATTTCAATTCATGTTAAAATCAGATGTTGTGCAATAACGGTGATTAGACAATGGCAGAAGGTTGGAACTTTCCCTCATGGCCCTGGGCATCTCAGTAGCTTCTTGAAGAAACAACTTTGCCAGGTGGGCTCCATGGAGGTGGAGTTTCATCTTCAAGGATGACCTGGAGTTTCTTTTGCTTTGTCTGTATCATCTGGTTCATTTCTTTCTTCTCCTGTTTACAATCAAGCGCATTGAGATAGTTAGCAGCACACTGCCTGGATAAATGCTAGATTAGTTTGCAATTTGTTCTCCACAAGACAACGTTAGCTTCCTTTACAAAATTACAGATGCACCAGATGCCTATTTCTATGTACTTGTCTCTTAATTATTATTTAGCTTGGCAGAGCTGCATGCTTATTTACAGTGCCATACATTGTTATGAAAGCGGACTTCAATAATTAAGTTAAAATAAATCAGTCATCCCCATTTCATGCTAACAGTTCCATGCAGTCTTAATGGCTTTGTTATAGCTTCCAATATAGCACCAGGCAGCTAAAACAACCTTTTTTTCAATAGTTCATTTAAACAAAGTATCTAGTCTGTTCTGGTTATAAATATTTTCAATTTTTGGTTTATAAATTCCTGTAACTTAATGAACACCAGCAGTTGCTATGACGCTCTTTATAAAGATAGCTGCCTTTACAGCACAATCACAAATATTCCAAATACATCCATTTAAAACCAGCACAACAATCTATTCAATGTGGCATAACAGATGCTCACAAAGCATGTAATTTGGAGGGCAATTTTAGCTTATTCTTCGATTTCACTCTTTGGCTATATGGTAGTAGTACATAAACATAACTTTCTTATACAATAGGAGCATAATCAGTACTCTTGAGAGGACTCAAGGGGCCCATTTTAAACTTTAAAGTTATATATAAAGCTATGATGTACAGATTTAAAACATGCGCAATGCTGAAATAACACTTAGCAGATGTACCATTGACCTATTGACCCTAGAGATGTTAATCTTAATACATGTATTTTCAGATCACCAAGCTGATGTTTGTGCGTAGGATAAAGTCAGCACTAACAAAGCAAACTTTAAATAGCCTGGAACAAACTAAAGAGAATTTTTTTTTAAATGACGTATCATTGGTACTTATCTCCTGACAATGTATAAAGGAGTTTCAAATGTTTGCTGGAAATGCCAAGAACACAAAGGGACATTTTATCACGCTTGGTGGACATGTAAAAAGGCTAAAAAATATTGGATACAAATACATATATTGATACAACAGATTTTAAAGGTTAATATTCAATTGAAGCCCGGGAACTCTTTGTTGTAGGGTTAATGGACATACAACTGGAAATGGATTAAGGAAGATTTTGCCAATATATTATTACAGCGGCAAGACTGCTATTTGCACAAAGATGGAAAGATATAGCCCTACTCACTAAAGAGGAATTGCCGATAAAACTATTGGACTTGGCTGAGATAGCAAAGTTAATGTGCTTAATTAAAAAAAATAAATCATTATTGACATTTATTCAGGACTGGAACCTTCTTATGGACTTTTTGCATGAAAGAGAAAATTAACTTGTACTATTGAGATTTGAAGATTGAAAAATTCTGGTTTACAGAATGGTTGGATTTTAATGGCGTCAATAATATATTTAGCTGCAGGAAGGAGAACCGGAAGTCCTTTTATGTTTCTTTAATCTCTCTCTTTCGGTTTCTATGAATAGGTAAAACAGGCCATAAGAGGGAAAAGGATATCTTCATATGTATCATCACCATCATCCTACCCCTCCTAAAATGAGATCAAGGCAGCATATGTGGTTCCCTCCTCCTTCTTATTCTCACAGCCAACCCAATGAATTTTATTTTATCTTGTTTTATTTGTCAATTTACAAACCACCCTTCATCAATTATAATCCCAGAGTGGTTCACTACAATTACATTAAAATAATAAAACATGGTGTCTCGTATTGAAATCCCAAGCAATAAGAGTACAGCAAAGAGACTACATCATTGAGAGCTGGCACTGACACCAGTTTTTTCCAAAGGCCTGGGTAGGAAGATGTTTTGTTAAGTGGTGTTGGAAGCCTGATAGTGACATTGCTTCAGAATTCCACAAACAAGGTGCCACGACAGAGGAGGTCCTGTCCTGCGGGCTACATCAACTGGGAGAACACGAAGGGCTTTCCCTGCGGACCTCAGAGCCCAGGCAGACTCTTAAGTTTAGACAGAGAGAGACTGGCACAAGGCTACACAGAGAGCACCATGGCCGAATGGGAAGTTGAACTTGGGTCTCTGCAGTTGTACCCTAACACTCTAGCTGCTACACCATGCTAGCTCCCCTTCACTGCACGATCCAGATTACTCATGCTAGCCACTCGACTACCTTGCATTTGGCAGAGGCAGGACTAGGCTTGTTTAGATTTAGGCAGAAGCTGCAGCTCCATTCCGGATCCATTCCAGCCTTTTTCTGCCTGCATTTCTCTTTGAATGCCTCTTTCCTTCCTTCTGAAGTCAAGGGAGCTGGGATGTCTTCTTCCTCTGCCTGCCTGCCTCCCTCTTTCCTTAGTCTCTCCCCTTTCTCTGCTGCAACAGCCATTGGAAAGACCACTGCCAGTGCCAAGCACATGTAACTGAATTCACACAAGTTAATGCACGTTTGATGTGACCACACTGCGTAACACAAACCATACATTTCTTTTCCTGTTCCAAGAATGTGGCTCACATTATATACGCCACTGCTTCTCTTTGAATGCCAGTATTGGACGTGTTGGCTCCTGTCCACCGGGAAACTTCTTAGAGCGGTTTTTGTGCATCTGGTGCCCTCCAGATGTTCAGGCCCAGCCAGCATCTGGAGGCACCAGGTTGTTGGAGGCTGGCTCAGAGTGAAGCGACTTCTAATAGCTAATAGCTAACCCCCCATTTCCACATTTATGCAACTACGTCTATGTATAAGTATAAAGCATAAGTCATAACTATTCTATCAACTCTGAATAATGAAAATCCTCATCTATGAAACCATTTCCTTGCATCTACAGTCACTCACTTGGGCAGCTGCTGCTGCTGCTAGACTTTGCTGGTTCTTTGCTGGGCTGACATGGCTTTGCAGAAGCAGCGGCTCTTCCTGACAGTGAACAGGAGAAGAGAAGACTCTACTGTCACCGACTATAGCATTGGGACAAGAAACTGCTAGTAAGGCAGTGGTATACATACCAAAATCTTTGTGAGGCAGCCGTCATGTTCTACAGAAACAGAAACATCTGGAGGGCCACAAATTAGCCATCCCAGCCATCCTTAGGTGATTATGATATCTAAAATAAACCTTGTTACATATTCTTAATGTCAAGGGTCACCAGACCCTACATTGTTGAGCAGATGCCCTCTTAAATTTAGTAGCTGCCCTCTGCACTCCACTCTCCAAGTCCCTCAAAACCAAAGCATGTCTACTGGGAAATTCAAACACGCTTCCAGGAAATCCCGCAAAGTGTGCAAAATAACACTTCCTCTACATCATCTATGTAGCATCTTACTTTAAAGGCAGAAATCTAATACATGTCTGCAGAATGCTAGGTATTGCACATACATCTGAGGGTTGTTTTCTAAGTTCTAGAGCCAACAATTGTAGGAAGAGAGATTATACTGCCACCATCTGGGGATTTTAAAACATTGAAAGTTCACTCGCCAAAATTTCTATACAGTATGTCAAATCTTGGATATTATCACAAGCGCAAACACTTACCAGCCATTTTTCATATTCTTCTATTGCTCTTTTATCCTTTTCTTCCTTCTCAACTTCTTGTTCTATTTGTTTTCTTCTTTCTTGGGTTTTTTCTTTTTTCTTTTGCTTCAGGAATTCCTCTTTTTTCTCGTTCCTAAAGGATAATACACAAAGGAAATGTATGCATCCTACTCGAATAACACAAAACAACACTGTAACACAGATACAACATATACTTAGCATTGTCAGATTCAGGTGCTTGCCTGCATCATTATAATGTTGTATAAAAACTAAATGGAGGCATATGCAGGCCTCTGCCACCAGCCAGGGTATCAAAGGCCGTCGGGAAGCTGCACCCCCTGCCTTCCAGGGAGACCATGGATGTTTTAGCTGAGATTCCTGCATTGCAGGGGGTTGGACTAGATGACCCTCAGGGTCCCTTCCAACTCTACAATTCTGTGACCTGGCCCCATAAATCCATTGGTCAGAGAAGGAGAAATGACTCCAATGCTTGTTTTTTACTGCCCTCCACATTCCTTTTCCCTTTTGTGTCGTGTCTATTAGACTGTGAGCCTGTGGGAAAGGACTGCTTTATCTTTTAATATATGCAGTGTTTAGAAAATGTCAGGTACTTTTAAAGTATTTTATACTACTACTGCTGCTGCTGCTGCTACCAACAATGATTATAACAACTGTACCATTTTTCAACAGCGGATGTGCTGTCTTTCTTCTTCTCTGCAACAACCTCCTCTTCTTTCTTCTTCTTTAATCTTTCAACTCTTTTCTTCCTTTCTATTTGTTGTTTTAAATATTCAGCTTTCTTTTCTTTCCATTTCTCAAAAGCCTAAAGAAAGCAACAAATCCATCAGGGATGTGCACCGAGGAGATCTTATCAGGGTTGTCAAGCAATTTAATACGTTCTAGTTAATTAATAATCTGCTCTAAACCAGTCAATTGATTGCTTAAATGTGCACAGTGCAAAATTAGTTAACAAGCAAACCTAACATTAAAAGAAGGAAAAGGCACCTGCGCTTTATGTATTTAATCTGAACAGTTTATTGGCTGCTTTTCAGCATGGCTCCGAGCAGTTTGCAAGATAAAATTATTAAAATACGATTAAACAAATTGCACCAATCCGGTTTCTGATCATGCCTATGAGTCAATGCCTGTTGTTCTTCATAGCCCTCTGGGGGCTGCGAAGTTCAGGCAAGGGGAAAGGGAGAGAATGAGGCACAAAGCCTCCCAATGCTTTCCAGTGGGGTCTGGGCTGGGAAGTTCACTGAATCCCACAGTGTCGCACAATCCTGGGTCTGCCAATTTGGAAAGCAGAATGGGAGTGACCTGGGAGTGTGCCCCTGCCATGGACGAGCCTCTGTTACTGGCATGATTTGTGGAAGGTTCCTCCTCAATCTGGATAATTGGCATTAATCAAGAGGTGCGCCCGAAGAATCATATGCAAATAGGCTGCAATGAATCAGCTGCCGAAAGAACCGGGACTGGGTTTTAGAAAGTATTTAAATGGTTTTCTGAAGCTTGAGAATCCTTAAAACAGCTGTGAAAGGAAAGGGAGAGGACAGGGCCTTCTTGGTAGTGGCACCTGCCCTGTGGAACGCCCTCCCATTAGATGCCAAGGAGATAAAGAACTATCTGACTTTTAAAAGACATCTGAAGGCAGTCCTGTTTAGGGAAGTTTTTAATGTTTGATGTTTTATTGTGTTTTTAATATTCTGTTGGGAGCCACCCAGAGTGGCTGGGGAGGCCCGGCCAGATGGGCGGGGTATAAGTAATAAATAATTATAATTATTATTTTCAAGTAGTCTTTTTTTCCTCCTAATAAAAAAATGTGTGTAGTTGCTCCTCTGATACTTCGAAAAAGAGGGAAGGCTTTTGATTTATGCTTTACAAAGAATTTGATTAGGTTTTGCCATGCTCCCCCCCCCCAACCAAAGGAGAATGGATTTTATTACCGACTGCTTCTGGATGGGGGTGTTGTTGGAGGAATGCAGTGGGGAAAAGAAAAAAATGACCTGCTGCTGGACAGTTGCTGAAGAGAGGCTGAATCTGAGAACAGGGTGCATGGGGCACATCATCCTTATTTAGTGTTTTATAGGTTAAAACAAGCACTTTAATTATGCCTGGAAATGTATTGACAGCCAGTGTAGTAGTTCCAAAATGGCACAATATACTCTATTTGTCCATTGACCAGGCTACTGTATTCTGCACTAACTTGCTCCCATACAGTTTTCAGGCTATCCCATGTCCTCAATGTTTTCTTTTATTCTGTATTATGGCAACGCACCAGAATCAAACCAGGTTAGAAACGAGCAAGTCCTTAACTCTCAGCATCACCAATGAGAATTGGCCCTTGCCAATTAACTCACTGAAGCTTTATCGATTAGTGTACTGATTAAAGCTTGCAGCCGGGTTTTATAGATTTTGTCCCATTACTTGGCCTCACAGATAACAAGATCCACTTGCAAAATTGTTTTGTTCATGCATATGTTGCTGTCAAGAGTAAAGAAAAGGAAGGTATCCTACTGCGGGTAATTGGTTTATGTATGCAATTCATTTGCAGAATTCGACACTTATTAAGATGAATTGTAAATGTGTGGAAGTATCGTGAACATTAGCTGCAGAGTCCATTTGTCTGCATTAGTCCTCTCTCCTCAATCTAATGTTTGCAATATGAAATTGTCTCACTGCCTTTTGGGCCTCTTCCTTCTTCTTCTCATTCAGTTCTGCTTCCATCTTTTTCTTGGCCTCTTCTAGTCTTTTCTTCTCAGCTAGTTTCTTTGCTTCTTTTTCTTTCATGGCCTTCCAGGCTTCAAAGGATGCAAGTGCTTCTTCTTTCTTAGCAGCTGCTTCCTATGTGGGAGGCAACATTGGCAGTTAAAAAAAGAGAGCTCATTATTATTATGTCTGGACTTAATTGGGAAAAGGTCAAGCAAACATGCGTACCACAGTAATTTGTGTGCCCTGCTAGTTACTGTTCTAGTAAGACTATATCTGCCTCGTAATGCAGGAAATTTACTACTTAGCATCCTATCTACTGGCTATGCCTTGGTTTTGTTTAAACAGAAAACCATCTTGAGGTTAATTAAAGTTATTTCAAAACTATTTGCCTCAAATGTGCAGGCGTTTACATAGATGTGTCGCTATTGTGAGAAGGGTCTGCGCCCCTCTTAATTTGCTACTGTCCACCTTGAAGAAAACTTTCCAGGGAATGTTCTTCTAGTTTCTCACAAGCAGCAACCACTGTTATGCTACCTCTGTTCAATCTCATTGTCCTTTCAGATCAGCCTATGGCCCTCCAGATGTTTTGGATTACAAGGGGGCGGATTTTGGGCTGCGTGAGCAGGGTGCATGCACCAGGCACTAAGTCGAGGAGGGAGTCTTCTCAAAGCCCTGTAAGTGAGGTGCTCACTAAATATTTTTTTTTATAAGATATTTATTAAGATTTTTTTAAAATATTACAATAACAAATGAAAAAGAAAAAAAATACAAAATAAAAGTGATTAAAAACCACTCAATTTTTCCATTGCTTATTTTTCCTTAGCTTGTTTCCCGGACCTCCTCATACCTCCCTTTTTTGTATTCGAGTTCAGTTTGTTAGTTCAGCAAATCCTTACCCTCTTTATTTGTCCTAATCTTTGGTCTTAAAATAGTAACGTTAGATTTTTACCTCTTAACAGCCCATTTTTCATATTCCCTTAAAGCATTACAGCTGGAAACCACTTAATTTCTATCCAACATCATTCTAACATTCATTAATTTTACAATATTTCTGTAGATAATCTTTGAACTTCTTCCAATCTTCTTCCACCGACTCTTCTCCCTGGTCTCGGATTCTGTCAGTCATTTCTGCCAGTGAGGTGCTCACTAAATATTTCCCACAAAGACATTAGTGCTGCTGCTAGAAACAACGGGTGTGTGAGGGGCTGTGGATAGGAACAGAGAAAGCAGTAGCTCTACTGCATCAGTGGATGCGTGGTCAAACAATGTTGAATCTCAATGTTAGCATTTAGCATGTGGAAAACTATATGCTATAGCAAGTCCCTTTAAGACGAACTATTTTCAGAACAAACCTTTTCATTCTTTTCTCTCAAGTTCTCAGCTTTGTTTCTTTTTATTCTTTGTAGTTCCAAAAGAAAGATTCTTTTCTTTTCCAACCAGTCCTATGGAAGGAACGAAAAAAGCAGAAAGCTGTAATAGGCAATTTTCAGACCTAACAGGATGAAATTACCTTTTAACAGAGGGATAATCTGTTTTTCTTACACAGGATATCCCAGCTGCTCTCATAATTTGATATATGCAAGAGCAGGACTTTTGTGCGGAGATTAAAAAGAATGTCCTAGGCATGCACAAGTCTTTCTTATCAGGCAATCTCCTTTCCAAATCATAACTCCTCATGCAGTGTTAAAGGCTGCTCCTTTAAGTTTCACCAACTTTCAGGAATGACTGATTAAGGCAGGAAGTGGGGTGTGTGAGATTTACATATAAATAAATGTTAATCTTGCCTCTCTTTATCTATAATGAGAGGTGGGGAAAGGAGAACAAGCTCCAGAGCCACTCCCAATCCTAGTAGAAGCCCAGGGATAATATAACATCTGAACTGGCTGCTTCAAGAAAACTTAGCAGCCAGCCCTCCTCTGTAACTTAGACCATCTGAAATACAGCATGAAATTATTCTTCAAACAACTTTTAAAAGGACAAAAACTACAAATGTCTATAACTGATTTTCAGCAAGTTGAAATGCAGACAATTATATTCACATCTTTTCTGAATAAATGACACATAAATCTACAAAGGTTCCTGCCTCCCTTAAAGCAAATTGGGAAATATTCTTAATGACACAGCATTAAAATGCTCTAAAGGCTTACCTGGTAGACAGCTGCCCGTAAACTATCTGCTTTGTCAAGTTCGGCACTGAATTTTTGCAAATGCTTATTGTCCAAGACCTTTAATGTTCCCAAATATTGAGATGATGTACTGATTGGGATGGGGGAGTGCTTCCCAGTTTTCTTCAAGTAGGTAGAGCTGAAAGATCTGTAAAATAAAAATGACATACCAAATTTTGTATACGACATGTAAAAGCAGATACGTGTCCCCATTTACTGAGAAGCTATACACATTCTCAGGTGTATAATAGTCTCAAAGAGCACTTGACTGGGTCAAGTCTGAGTGCAAGACTCAGATATCCAAAGCATTATGTGCAGAGCCAATTGTGTCTTGTAGAGAGAAACTTGCTCATGAAATTATTTGGAATAATAGAAATGGCCCCCAAGTTTGTAGTACAAAGAACTGTGACCTAACTCTGTGAGCTGGAGATTGACATTAGAATCCCTTGGCCTACACAGATGAGGGTGTTTGTTGTTTTTTAGCTAACAAGGTTTTGGTCTGGGGCTGAACTACAGGAGTCTCAAAGTTTCCTCCTTGTCTTTTATGAGGATTGGTGTAGGTGTTCTTTAAACCCACTCTTGATGTTTGGACCTTTCCCTTCAACAAACAATTTGAGCGTGTTTGTTAATGAGTCAAGAATTTCAGAAAAGGTGAAATATAAAATATCATTAGATGCGTTAAATCATTTTAAGGAAAACTATGCTTGCTATACAAAGAATCAGAAGTTTGAAAAAACTGACTCTGATTTTTGGAATGATGCTTCAGGGCTAAAAAAAAAATCAATCTGGAGGAATTTAAATGGAAAATAATCAGCACTTAAACATTCATGCCAGATAAACTTAAAAAAATTTGAGGCCATTCACATGACCTTTTAAAACACACACACACACACACACACACACACACACGTGTGTGTGTGTGTGTGTGTGTGTGTGTGTGTATAAAAGTAACAAGAACAATGTGGTTTGGGGCAAAGCACTACTTAACACCTTATTTCTGTGATGGTACATTGTTTTAAACTGTTTTTACCATTGGGTCTTAATTGTTGTAACCTGTCCTGGAACCTTAGCATGAAGGGTGGGAAAATAATAATAGTAATAATAATATTTCAGAATGTGGGCTCAGAGAACCGATACTACCTCATACAGAGAATTAAGCTAGTGAAATTTGCCATTTGTGACTTAGAAAACTGGAAACATTTATGTCACCTTCCAGTGTGATCGTGTCCAATATGTAATGAAGAAAACAACCAGGCTTCTGAAGAATGTACCAAATTTCCTACCTGCTTATTGGAGATTTTGCTTTTTGTGGACCTGTCTCTTTTTCTTCACCTTCCTCCTAATAAAACCAGAAAAAGAAAACTGGTTGTACAGCCTGGAAAGTAATAGTACTACAGTGGTACCTCGGGTTACGTACACTTCAGGTTGCATACGCTTCAGGTTACAGACTCCGCTAACCCAGAAATAGTGCTTCAGGTTAAGAACAGTTTCAGGTTAAGTACGGACCTCCGGAACGAATTAAGTACTTAACCCGAGGTACCACTGTACTTATGCAGCACCTATTTTGAGATATTGTGTGTGCCAAATCAAAAGCCTCTGAATACTCAGAAGGCTCACAATATAAAATTGTGGAATTCTGCCTTCATGAAATATAAACCAAATAACAAGGACTAAGAATTTCTGCATGATCCACATTTTCCTTCTATTTATAGCTTCCAAATGGCTCTAGAAATTTGGAGAACACCCCAGAGCATCTTTTGCACATGAAGGAAGAGAGTTCAGGGACTACTAACCATGTTTGGGTGTGAGCCAATCAGCGACCTCCCTCTGAACAAGCAGAAATGTCTTCTACTTGTGCAGCGGGATCTTTGAATCCAAGCCTGTCTGCTGGCAATATTACCATGGGGTCTTTACCCACGAGCATTGATTTTGTTTTATCAAATGTCTTTTTTGAATGGAGCAAGAGGAAACATAAGTCAACCACAACTGAAATAGACACGAAATGTCTAATACTAGAGCACAGTTTAGTTGACCACTGGTAGAAGAACATCGTTCCATAGTCATAAGCGGGTAGCAGCCAAACAAGTTTTTAAAAAGTGAATATGTGTGCATATACGTATCAATTTAAGGCTATATGACAATAGTCCATGAAACACACCTTTAACGAATCCTTTGAAGTACCCAGCACAGCCTTTGAAGTACTTAGTGCTACCTTTTGTTCAAATTTATCCTCCTTTGTTGTCTCATTTGATCCATCCTCAACGGCACTGTGTTCTAATGTCTGGAGCTTTCCTTCCAGATCATCCTCAGTTGACTTGTGAAGTTTCTTATTTTTCTCATAAACTGTTGTCATCATTAGTTCTATCACAGAAGGGGATTCTCTGCCACTATCCAGCAATTTCAGATCATTGCAGTTATCAGTTTCTTTCTGTTCATCTTCTAATATGGAAAGAAAAGAAGCCTCACATGGGGTTAATGATCAGACACTGGGCAGGGCCAGGGAAGGAAAGAGATAAGAGAATGTATCTGGTGTTTTGCAAGCTTTTCTCAGAATTAATTTTATATGAGACAAATGTATTTTAAAGACTAACTTGAAAGAAAGTGTTCTTTCTCTATTTCAGCATGTCAGCAATACCCCCCCCCCAATTCCCTTTATGGTGATGGAAGATCAAGGGACAACTAAAGTAGATCATTATTAACTGTGCCTTTCAAACTTTCCCCATTAACAGTAAGAAATTACTTCAAGGCAACTTGATTTAAGTTCTTGAAGGTGACTTAAGTTATAAGGAGCTCAGCATTACAAAGCAACACTCTCTGAATTGTAATTTTTTAAAAAATATTGTGTAGTCATATTATTTACCTTTTGAAGAAGATTCTTCTGCAGATATTGCCAAATTGGAATCTCCAGTTCTCTCATCCACTGATGAAAAATGAATAGGGAATGGGGATGAGGAGCTTGCAATCCAGGGGCCCTAAAATGCAAAATGAAAGTAGAGGCAAGCCTATCATTACTTGTGATTAATCCATATCAGATTAAAAAGATTTCTAAAAAAGAAAATCCCCCAAATGTATCTCCCAAAATAAAGACTAAAAACAATGTAAGATTTAGCCTACCTCAGGTCTACAGATATTCAGCTGCTAGAATTGAAAAACAAGTTCTTTATCCCCCCCACCTGTTTCTTAGGCTGTTCTCCTATTGAATTCAATGGGAGTTACTCTTGGGAAAGTGGAGTTACTGCCTGCACACACCACACATTTAAAGCACTCCCACACTTCTTCAAACTGCAATTTACCCCCATAGAGCTACAGTGCCTAGCACTCCTAACAAACTACAGTTACCACGATTATTTGGGGGCAGGGGATATGCTTTAAGTGTATGGTGTGTATGCAGCCTCTATGCGTAAACTGAGCCTTTTCTCAGAGCTGGTTTTAATATTATTTCAATGTATTCAGATCCTGAATTCCAACCTCTTGGCTGCTGAAGAATCATATACACCAGAACATCATTTTGTTGCACACTGGAGCACATTTCCACCCTGAAAATATATATGTAACCATTCCTAGCTTGTTCTTCTCAAAGTTAACATTTTCTCACTGGTGTAAAGCTATGGAATGATTGTAGAACACGAAGGGTAAAATCATCCGTATATGTTGGAACAAAATATAAACTTGGTAACTTTAGGCAGGATCCAGCCACCTATCTCAGTGATTTCAGAAGAAGAGAGTTAAATATGTGTTTAGCTCTCCATGGATAGAAATGGGACTTGTGAGAGCTTCACTCAGACTGCCTTCCACCCTTTATTCATATACAATAGATCAGAATTATTTTCTGACCTCAGGACCAGGACTTTCAGAAAGTGCTCTATTTTCAGATTTCTTCACTTGATCATTTAGCCTTGTTTCAGAAGATGGTGCAGACAGTGAAAATCTGTGGCTGTGAGATGTCCTATCCTCTGCCTTAGTTCCTTCGTAATCCTCCACATGGCTGCTTTTTCTCAAAACACTCCTAGGTTGAGAAGATGGCTTTGCATAATCATATCGCGCGGGAATGCTAATATTCTCAGCTGAGAAAAATACAAAGAAAGAAATTGTAAATTGTCATTTTAACTGGAGGGGGGAGGTAAATTCAAACTATGGAAGTCCCTGAACTGTAGTTCCCACTGAGTCAACTAAGGTTACCCACAGAATCCCTCATTCTCTTAAGTTGTCCCTGTAGCTCATGCAAGTACAGAAAGAACAAGGGGTAGGGCTTTTACCAGTGACACGCCCTGGCAAAATGAGCTTACAGGTATATCTATAAAGGGACTCTATCTAAGCTTCATTTTAGTCAGGCCAGGGAGCTTCCCCTAATTTGATCAGACAAGCGAGCACAGGGATTAAACAGCTGCCTTGCTCCAAAAGCTCAAGAGCTTTCCTGAGCGGTGCCCCTGGACTTGCACAAGGAATGCAGTTCCCTGTGCCATTAAAAACCAGCCTACAGGAATTCTTGTAAAGCCTTGATAGAACTACTGTATGATTATGACTTAGCTTAGCTGCTGAAAACGTTCTGACACACAAAAAAGAAAGTTGGCTTTTAATATCCAAGCATTAAAAAATAATAATTTTTGAAGCAGAATCACATGTAGGGGTGATCAATGGGGCAGGGCACGACCTTGAAGTGGCATCTCTGGTGCTTACTGGGACAGAGTGACTTCAAGGTTGGGGCAGAATGGGTGCAACAGTGAAAGCTATCTGGTGCTCCCACTTGTGTGCCTGCAGTGCCCCTCCCCCCTGGGGTAACAGTGATACCATTGCCTAAAGTCTGGCTCCATGGAGCTGCCCTGCCCCACTACTCATTTTGGCACCACATTAAGCCATAGTTAAGGTGTGAATGAGCAGTGTGTGAGTGTGCACTGTCCCAAAGTGCCCACTACGCCTGTCCCACATTCCTGGCTTTGCTGTGAGCTTGTTGTGCCATTTGAACCCAGGCTTGTAGTTTGCTTGCCCCCAATGAACCAAAAGCACGGGTTTGGTTCACACCACAAGCCAAAGCTTGTAGTTTGTTGCTGCTGGCATGGTGCAAAGTGGAACTTTTGAACATTGTGCACCAGAGCAGTGCTCACTTGCATTCAATAAATAAAGCACTGGCTATGGTTTAATGCAGAGTGAGCTAATAAGGGCCCTCGAGATGCTGTGGACCACGACTCCTATCAGCTTCAGCCAGTATTGCCAACATCCAGGGATAATGGGAGTTGTAGTTCAAAACACCTGGAGGGGCAAAATATTCCTTCATTGGACTAGATGATCCTCGTGCTCCTTTCCAATTCTATGATTCTGTGGCACTTCATTCACTACCCCTGATTAAATGTGACATGCAAACCAGACTTGAATTTGGAGATAGGCAAACATGGACTATGCTGCCACCAAGTGGAGGGAAAAAACCCCATTCATTTATTAAATTTCTATATCACCCTTTATCAAAGGATCATAGGGCGGTTTACAATATAAAAACACAACAATACATAACACAGTAACAAACAAAACAATAATTCCCCCAACTATTTAGTCAGATTGCAACCTGAAATGCTTAATGTGCAATTATTTCCCAAATGAAAAATGGATCATAGAATTCTGAGAGTAAAACACTGGTGGCTTAAGGTATGACTTCTCTCAGTATCTTAAATTGCCAGGAAGTGCTGACTGTCCTTAAAGGGTCACATGCGGTTCAATCCTAAGAATCTGGTCTCATACCCAGGGCCATTTAAGAGAACAGCCACAATCCAAACTGGAATGTCCACATCAACAAGCATAACCATAGTTATAACTACTGCCAAGCACAAACCTAACATTACCATGATTATGCCACAGGTGCTGTCAGCTCTTGAAAGTGTGTGTATCCACTTACAATAATATAGTAATCATGAAAGTGCACATGAACATGCACCTTTCCTACTCACCAAGTAAGTATAACCTGCCCCACATATCTGAATTAAGGGGGCAAGGCTTTCGGACACAGTGTGTGACTTCAGACTTTAGCACTGGTGCTATATCATCTTGGTTTAGAAATTAAACAATGTGGTAACCTTTGTACTTCACATCATCAATGATAGAAATACAAATAGCACAACTCCCTGACTGCCAGACACACTTGATCATAAACAGGAACTCTTTTAAGAACTCATGGGATACAACAGAGCTAAAGGTAAGATCCTCATACACTAATAGCCTCTTGGGGCTCCCTTTCTGCTATTGCCTGCAATCCAAAGAACTGCCAGACTTCTGAGCACCTAAGGTAGCCTTGGCGTTGTGCCTCTCAAAGAGCAGTTTTTCATGTCAGCAGCCAAGCCTACCTAGAAACTTTCAGAAATAGCTTCTGATATATCATGAGTTTAAAATTTAACCTTGCACTAGGCACATCTAGGAATGAGTGAATCTCAATTTCAGTTTCTCATATTTTTAGCTCTCCACATTTCAACATCAGTTTGCATTTTTTAATTAAAAAAATGTCCTCATGAAAATCCAGCAGCATTTTAATGTGAATTTCTCTTAATCCATACATCTACATGCAATTTTTCAAAGCAATCCCCCCTAATATATTTTTGTATGCTACTTCCCCAATATACAGTTTAATGCACACTTTACCTTGGTATATGCATTTCTGTACACGTTACTTGCCTTGAGAACTGAATTGTAAAATTCAAAGGATGGCTGTGTTCCAGTAAGTACAAATTAGGTCAGTTTGCCTTAAAAGTAAACTGAGTCATCTTTCTTTTCTGTACCTAGTGCATATCCAAGGTTTTGGACACATCTAAACTAGCTCTGCGCTCGTTTCTCTCCGGTCAGGGACAGAGGGTGGCGCTTGGGGGGAATTGTCATCCCGCCACTCCTTGGTGTGTGGAGTGCCTCAGGGTGCGATACTCTCCCCGATGCTTTTTAACATCTTTATGCGCCCCCTTGCCCAGCTTGTCCGGAGTTTTGGGCTGGGTTGCCATCAGTATGCCGATGACACCCAACTCTATCTGTTGATGGATGGCCATCCTGACTCGGCCCCAGACACACTGACCAGATGTTTGGAAGCTGTGGCTGGATGGTTACGTGGAAGCCGGTTGAAGTTAAATCCTTTGAAGACAGAGGTCCTCTGGCTGGGACGTGACGATATGGGATTGGGGGGGCAACTCCCATCTCTTGCTGGGTAGCAACTAGTGCCAGCACCGTAAGTAAATAGTTTGTGTCTAATCTTTGATAACTCCCTCTCTATGGAGGCGCAGATTACAGCTATAACAAAGGCGGCATTTTTCATCTCCGCCAAGCTAAGCAGTTGGCCCCTTATCTCTCTCGCCCTGACCTAGCCACTGTGATCCACGCGACGGTCACCTCCAGACTGGATTATTGTAACTCGCTCTACGTGGGGCTGCCCTTGAGACTGACCCAGAAACTCCAGCGGGTCCAGAATGCCGCGGCGAGACTCCTTATGGGGTCTTCGCTGCGAGATCACATTCATCCGGTACTATACCAGCTGCACTGGCTCCCGGTGGAGTACAGGATCAGGTTTAAGGTGCTGGTTTTAACCTTTAAAGCCCTATACGGCCTAGGACCCTCGTACCTACGGGACCGCCTCTCCTGGTATGCCCCACAGAGGAACCTACGGTCTGCAAATAAAAACATCCTGAAGGTCCCAGGCCTCAGAGAGGTTAGGCTGGCCTCAACTAGAGCCAGGGCTTTCTCGGCTGCGGCTCCAATCTGGTGGAGCGCTCGGTCACAAGAGACTAGGGCCCTGCGGGACCTGACATCTTTCCGCAAGGCCTGCAAGACAGAGTTGTTCCACCAGGCCTTTGGTCAGGGCCCAGCCTGACTCCCTCCTCTGGCAACCTGCACAGAACTTTGCTTAACGGTTGCCATTAATTTGATTTTAATTAATTTTTATAATGAAATGTTTTAGAATGTTGGATTATTTGATTGTTTGATTATTTGTTTGTTGTTAGCCGCCCTGAGCCTGGCTTTGGCTGGGGAGGGCGGGATATAAATAAAATTTATTATTATTATTATTATTATTATTATTATTATTATCTTTCGACAATCCAGAACTAGTTATGATATGTCATATGGGAACTGACAGTAACTCTCTTATCCAACAGGTGTAATGGCCTGAAACTGATGGGTCACCAGGGTATTGTTCTAAGTTACTATAAGCTTTGTTGTAAGAGACTGCAAAATGACAACTTTTTATTATGTATAAAACGTTATAAAATATAGCTTAAACTTATCTTGGAATATAAAGAAATACAACAACAAACAGTCCGCCAACAGGAAAAAATTAACTTGATACTGCAGATGTTTTCCCTTTAAAATACACAAATTAAAAGGAAAAAATATTCCACACACACTTTCAAGAAATGGAAAATATTCCATTAAAGGGAAAAAATATTTCCCTTTAAAATACACAAATTAAAAGGAAAAAATATTCCATTGTATAATCTATACAAGGACTTTTCTTAATAATATTGTTTAAAATCTGAAAAGTGCATTATAATGCATGCAGCAGAATTTTATTATGCTTGCTTTACCTGATGCTGATGCCGCCTTGGTCTTAAATTCCCTTGGCCTTGGCACTGGCTTGATTTCAGTTTTGCACTGAACTGTATCATCCCTCTCTATCTGCAACTCAAACACTGGTTCCTCTTCCTGCTTATCACCTTCTTCTTCAAAACCCGACCCTTCTTCAGAAACTGAGTCATCTTCTTGCCTCTCTTCAACCCGATGTTTACTCTCCAACATGGCTGTTTCTTGAAGTCTCTTCTCTTCAGCTTCTGTCAAAATCAAGTCATCAGCATATTTTTTTTCAAAAGAGTAGTGATCTGGCAGAGATACTTCAAATGAAATGGATGTTTTTGACGCACTCCCTTCACCTGATCCAGAATGTTCAGCTTGCCTCTCGTCACTCAAAATCTCTCTCTCAAACCTGGACACATATTGAGGTCTCTCATCTTCATCTGACGAAGACAAGTCATCTGCACTTTCTCTTTTCAAAGTGCTCATATTGCGAAGATTATACTTGGATGTTGCAAAGGAAATTGATTTCTTTGGGGTGTTTTCCACAGTTTCAGGAAACTCCTCCTCTGAACCTGAAAACAGAGTCGATTGGCATTTCGTGGATAAAGAAAGGGAATCAAGCTGGATTTGGTTAAAAGCATAATTCTGCCATGCATTTTGATCCTGACATATTTATATCGGTTTATGGTGCCAACCCAAAACTGTATGTTTCTCCTTCCAATTCCTAAATCTCCCAAAGAGATTCGTAGTGTACTGTAATGTACATTTAGAACAAGTGTCAAATTTTTTATACATATATATATATATATATAGAGCTTAATTTTCTGAGTGTGGGTTGTGTAGCCAACACAGCAGTAACCATGCAAGCTTCAGAGAACCCCAAGCCTTGCATGATTATACCTTTTTAGGATCAGGTGGGAGGAGAAACACCCAAACCAGCCCATTTAAGAGTGAATGTGCTCTCTTGACTCAAATTAAAAACCTGGGAAGGGGGGCAGTGGTGTGACTAGAAACATAAATAAGAAAATATCAATGACAACATTTTGTTACACTCTGATTTCCCCCCCATAAACGTCAAATCTCTATAGAGAAAGAGATAGGCCATTATGTCTCCGTGTAGGAGGGAAAAAAGGATGAAATTATAATAGCCTCTGAGCTAGTGTAAAGCAAAAGATTTGATCCACATCAGCCTAGATTCAAAGAAAGCTCTGCAATAAGTTTCAGGGCCACTGTGTTTTGGCTACTAAAATAACTCTAAGGAACATATCCCACGAAACTCATTGAAACGTACAGAACAATCCTAAGGGGCTGAGATGTGAAGTAATTAATTCTTTGCTGCATCTTTAGCCTTGCTGCCTCCAGCTGGTTAGGGCAGAAGGTGCATATGAGCAGTCATTACAACAGAAGCCAGAAGACTGAGACGTCCAGTCTTAAACCAGCAGCACAGAAATCAAGGTTAGGATGGCTGCTTTACTTCTAATTAAACATGCCTAGGATCATTCTGCATGTAGTTACTGATCAATTATTTATACGACAAAAAGCACTGAAAGGGCACACGTAAATATTTCAAGTTGTCATGTTATTTAACTTACCTTCTTCATCACTTTCAAAATCTTCCGAATATTCAGAAGATTGCTGTTTTGCTGCGCGAGCAAGAAGTGCTTCTTGTAGTTCTTCCTAAAAAATTGTAAACAGGAGGAGAGTGGGAAGATAATGCATTACCATTTCAAAGGAAACAGAGTAGTTCCAATTTTACTGTAAATTGTTTTGCTTTAAAAAATATATACTTAGAACAAACTAAAAATGTGGCAATTTATAATCCCTAATCTTTTTACCATAAAGTGATAAAACCTGAATTTGTTTGTTTTGTCTAAGGTACAGATTCATGTATTTTTCCATTGGTTCCTTAGGAGTTCTGCCTTGAAGTGGTTAAAAAATATATGTTTTTGATCTGTTTGGAATATCTAAGATCTTTTCAACAGTTTCCCTGAGGATATGAAAGAGCTCTCTCAAGATGCTGAAACTATTGGCTTGAAAATAGGTTTTGTATAGCTGCTGAAACATTTAACATGCTTGTCGTAGGGTTGTGTTTTTTTTAAATAAGTAACTGGTTTTATTAGGGACTTTGTGAGTTGTTTTATAAATTGCTTAAGTAAGCTGCTTTGAACGTAAAAGAAAAAAGCAGTGTATCAAATGTTTACATAAATAAAACCATCAACACTGAAGATAAACAAATGTGTGGGGTATCTTTTTCATAAATTTTAAATCTGATTCCCCTTCTGTGATCAGCCCACCAACAATGAAAAGCTCCTATATTTCTGAAAGACCCATACATCCTTATGCATGTATGTGGTATATCCATTTTTTCCTGAACATGAAATATGCACAAGCTCTGGGCAATTATCACTCATAAACACAATGCAGAACCAAGACACAAACCATCAACTTTAAGTTTGCAAGTAACAGAATGTACAGCAATAAAATGTTATAATTTACAGATCAAAACCTTTTACCTGAAAAGTGGTTCTTTTGGAGAACTTTGGGCTTTTGGTATAGGCTAAAGTATTGATATCTTCATCAGACATGTTTCTTGATCTGAGGAAATTAATCTTATATGCTCAACTTGTGATCCAGTGAAGGCAAATCTTCATTATGGATTTAAATAAGAGAGAGAGAGAGAGAGAGAGAGAGAAAGAAAGAAAGAAAAGTGACCCTTTTTTTTTTGGCAACACTGACATTCCCTTGAAGGAGAAATAGAAATGAACAGTAAAATTTTAATCTAGTTGCATAGCATGAAAATTTTACTGTTCATTTCTATTTCTTTCCCATTTCTTTCATTTCTATTTCTGTTTCTTTCCCTTACAGGATATACTTCAGTTTTCTACACAAACAACTTGAAAGATACATTAGGCTGAGGTGACTTGCTCAATGCTCAATATTTATACCTGTGCAATAATTTGAACTTTGGTGTTCTACAGCTTCCTAAGCTATAGCCTCTGCACCTAATTTGTTTCCATCAAAATTTCCAGGTGAATAGAAACCAAAGAGTAACTGAGTTGCAGTCATCATTCAGAGGAGTCACATAAAAGGAAAAATGGATCTACTTACACCAGAGAATAAATTTGTACACCTGTGTCTGAAATGACGCAATTGTTCCAGTTAACAAATGAGGAACAGGGACTTTATAGAGGTCTCTAATATGGGTTATTTTTGGTCCTGCGCCTCCTCATCCAGTCCATATACCCATGCCTAGTTAAAAATTGCCAATTGTGTTGGTGGCAGTGGGAATGGGATCACAATCCCTGGCAGATAACATGCTTTGCATGAAGGTTTCAGGTTAAGTCTCTGGCACTGCCAGGTAATAACAGAAAAGACCCGTTTGAAATTTTGGACAGCTGCTGCCAGTCAGTGCAGACAATATATGGACCAGGGATTGGAACTCAAGTGTAAAAAAGTTTCATAGTTAAGTGTGACCAGGAATATTCCGTGCAGACTGCAGAGAGGCAAAATATTAAAAAGCTACTCCCTTCTCCAAAATTAGCACTCGTTTTAAACTATAGATGCTTCCCCCCCCCCCAAAGCTCTAGAAACTCGTTTTTTAAAAAAATAAATAAAAACATATCCAAGCACACTCTCCAGTTTTATCAAGGCGGAGGGTAGAGGTTGGGGGAACAAAAAGAATGGGTAAGAAAAAGATCAGCACGCTCTCCATTTGTCAACAAACTGAGATACTGGCATCTTTAGAACATTTCCGAACGGTGGAACCACGTTTTTTCCCCCGCAGGAAACTTCAAGCCACACCTATAGTTAGACCCGCATACATGGGTGATCTTGCGGGGATTTTCCTATGCCCTTTTAAAATGTGGGGTTTTTTTGTGGTGGTGGTGATGGGGTTATTGGGCTGTCGTTTTTATTTTTATTATGTATGTGGTGGTTTTAAATCTTGATTTTATTCTGTGAACCGCCCTGAGACCCCCGGGTATAGGGTTGTATAATAATAATAATAATAATAATAATAATAATAATAACAATAATAATATCATCCAGCCTAGGCGCGCCGCAAGTGCAGCTCCCCTTACTTTGCTCAGAAGCCCCACTGAGACCCGCAGGGTTTTATCCCCCAGAAAACAGACACCGGGCAGCTGCCTTGAGCACTGAAAACGAGCTCCTTCCAAGGTCCCGGCCGGGCCGGGCCAGGATTTCCCTGGGGAAAGAGACCCGGCCGCGCTCCGCCCTCCCGCCTGCCAGCTGGCCTCGGGCTCCGCCTGCCTCCCTCCCCGCCCGGTACCTCGCGTCGCGGGAAGGTTCTTGCTTTGCACTCGGGCGAGAGGGCTGAGCAGCGCCCACTCCGATCTTGCCCCTGCCCCGGCTACAGGTCTAGTGAACGCCAAGCGCGGCCTCAGGGCAACGTAGGCCTTTCAGCCGCGCGCGTTACCTAGCAACGCCCGCCACGCGGGCACTGACAGCACAGACCCCGAGGAGCGTTGCCATGGGAAACGAGCCCCGCCTCCTCCCCTCCCTCCGCCGGCCTGGTTTCATCTGCGGTTGACGGGGGGAGGGGCTAGAGGCGGGGCCAAGGGGTGACGAAATAAAGACTCTTTCTTCTCGCCCCGCCCCTTTAACTAGCTAGGTTTGCAAAGGGGCAAGGAAGGAAAGGGGGTGTAGTTCTTGAGCTTACTAAGAGTGCAGGTTGTACCGATCGTGAGTTGGTTGCAGTAGAGTTGGGCTATAGATGGTCCTCGTGGCCCCTTCCAACTCTACCATTCCATGATATTAATTTTGTTTTTTGTGCGTGCTTCTTTGCAGTACAAACCATAGAGCCAATTCGTATTTTCTCCTTTGATGTTCAGCAGCAATGAAAAAGGTGAAATTGGGATTGTGAGGGAAAGCATCACCAACACTGGATAGGTTCACACCATAGCTGTCAACTTTCAGATTTGAAAATAAGGGATCAGCAGCCTCAAAAATAAGGGATCAGCAGCCTCACCTGTCCTGGGGACCGTCTATGGGATATCTAACAGTCCGGGATACCAGCGGGAAACAGCGCTGGAATAAGGGGATTTCCCACAAAAAAAAGGGAAGGTTGACAGCCATGGTTCACACATCATTTTTCAGTTGAACTATGTTTAAGCTTAACTATAGTTTAAAGGTAAATACATACTGTGCAAAGGGTTTAAATGGTGGCAACTTCACTCTGCTCTGCTGTTGTGTCACTGTTGACAGCTAAGCTTACCCATGATCCGGCTTAGCATAACATGATTTGATTTCATTTGTGGTTCCCCCACAACATACAGACAAACCAGGTGCTATAAACTATAGTTTATTTGAAGAGAGACAGAATGCTAGGTCAAACTATGACTTGCCTCCTAGCAGGAGAGCAGTGAAGCAGCTGTGATTTTCACCCATGGGTGGGTAGCCATTCTCAGCCTGAGGGCCACAATTGCGTCTGGGCAACCTTGGAAGGGCCACATGTCAGTGTTGGGCAGGGACAGAGCAATGAATGCACATTTCACTCTTGAACAGTAAGCTAGTTTCAACACACATGCCAACATCCCTCTTTACCCTCCTTTCAGACAAACAATGTATGCTCATAGTAAGTTTTCTAATTGCTATGATCATAGCTTCAAAAATACGAATGACCTATAAAATGCCGGAACATTTGACCATCCAAATATCTGATAATCATTTTATTTTCCAACCATGCAAACCCTATTACACTGACAATGCAATGCATTTCAAAGTACCATAGTTCCATTTAGAGAGAGAGAGAAATGCTTGTCATCTCCAGAGGATGGCAGCAAAAGATTTGCTGCAAATGGAGAGAGACATCTTTGCTGTTTAATTTAGTATGTCACCATTTATAGTCAAGATCAGGAAAAGAGGCATTTTTAATGACTTTACCACAAATTAGAACAAAGCATTCACAGCAAAAATGAATTTGGAGCAGGGACTGAAATCAAATGATTGTCTGGAAACAAGTTATGATTAAAGGCTGCAGTTCTAATGCACATTTCCCTGGGGAAAACAACAAAGAGACTTGTGACATCTTACAGAGTTTCTGTGGCATTTAAATCTTGTAGATCGGAGCCCACTACATCAGATGCAGGAAGCTGAATCCTCAGTTCTCAGGAATCTATATGGGTATAGAGGGGAGAAATGTGAACAGTGGAATTAAATGACAGTGAAATACAAAAAGGACCAGGGCAAGGTGGGGTGATTGCTTCAAGCGTCAGGATCCACAGGGGCAGCAAATCCCCCACATCATTCCTAATGTAGACCTTCAAGCACACCTTCTTCCCTGGCAGGGAGGGGAGCACCATTTTGCGGTTCAATTCAGGTGGCAAAATGTCTCAAGCCGGCCCTGGAAATGACAAATGTGGATTGTGTGAAGTGGACATCACTTGATGACGCACATCTGGGGCAAGCAAGATATGGGGTGGATATTCAGATACCCACATTCAAGAAACTCACAAATAAGTAGCCTTTATGTGATTTGCTTGTGAAATTGGCAGTCCCAATTGTGTGGAAGCCTATGCATACCATGAACCCCAGAACAGTGTTGGAATTGGATTGGCAGAGTCTGATGCAGGAGGAGGAGGAGGAGGAGGAGGAACCAGAAGCATCCCCCTTCTGGCCCAACTTCTGCTGCTTTAGGAGGCAGAGCAAGGATGCCGGCTTACAACAGCTTTCCTATGGAGTGGAGAGCCTCAGTGGAGGTTTGGGTGCGGGGGCTTTGATCAGCCAAGCAAGAAGGCAGAACAGGAGTCAGGAGCAACTGCTGTGTTGTTGCCTAAAACCGTGTGCCACCTTTGCAAATAGGAGCAGACTCACCTTCCCCAGTGGGGTGCATGCTTGCAATCCCAACATTCCCACAATGAGAGTGAGTCTCGTGAGTGAGCACACTATGCCTCATATTTAAAACCTTGGCAGGAAATATGTTGGGACATCTTTGCCACTTCCATCCAATTCTGAACTTCTTGCCCTGCTCCTGAACTCCTGAACCATGACTCCTGAGTTCTGTGTCTGCCGCTGAGCCTATACCATTACTTGCCTGAATATTTATCTTTCTTCCTGACAAGAGCCTCTGCTTACATCTGGTGAGGCAGGAGCCAGTGCACTGTGCAAGCAGCTGCTTATGTGTCTGCTTCTTTAGTACAGACATCCTCACCGCTGCATGGATGTCTAAGCATGGGTCCAGGAGAGGGGTCCTCAGGGCAGCCCTATGATGTCTTCCTCATGAAGTTCATGACGATTCTACACAAAGCTGAAGATAAGCAAAGTGATTGTTCAAAACAGCGGTAAATACACAATTATACCAGCATTGCCCACCCCATGTGTAGTGGGACAGAAAACCATTATCACTATTCCAACCTAAAGGGATGGAAGCAAACTTCTTGATAAATTCTAATCCAGCATTTTTATGCATTAATCTCGCTTTGAAATTCCCTTTCTGGAGAAATGGCAACTTTCAAGCTCTGAATCTGACTGGAGTTTTAGTGCTGGGGGTAGAATGTTTTAACTCTCTCCATCAGAATTCTAAAGTAAAAATGAACACAATGAGACTTCCAGTCAGGAATCTCCTGCATCACATGATTTTGTACTGTTCTTGTGTGGTGAGCCAGTGTGGTGTAGTGGTTAAGAGCGGTGGACTCGTAATCTGATGAACCAGGTTCGCATCCCTGCTCCTCCACATGCAGCTGCTGGGTGACCTTGGGCTAGTCACACTTCTCTGAAGTCTCTCAGCCCCACTCACCTCACAGAGTGTTTGTTGTGGGGGAGGAAGAGAAAGGAGAATGTTAGGCGCTTTGAGACTCCTTAGGGTGGTGATAAAGAGGGATATCAAATCCAAACTCTTCTTCTTCTTCTTCTTTGAGTGTGCAGTTGGGGTCGTAACAAGGTTTAGCCATGAGGTGGCAATGGACTTAGTTGCATCTGAACTAAGGCGTTTCCCTTGTCAGACCATAGAGAGCTTGTCCAAGTTCCTGACTGATGTGTCCTCTTTAAGTCTTCCATGGTGTTAAGCAAATAACATTTTTTGCCTTAAAAAGGGCACCGGTAACAGCAAACAAATTAGCAACTTCTTAAAAAGTGTAAATGTTTATGCTAAATAGTGCTTGCTTGTTTTCTTAAATTTTGGAAGCCTAATGGAAAATTACAGCAGAGCAGCATGATATTTTAGAGTCATGTAAATATTCACATTTGTTCCTTTGGTGCTAAACCATGAATAATTAAAGTGACAAGACGAGCAGCAGCCAAAGGCCTCGGATTTCTGACACTGAACCAGAATAATGTGTAGTCTTCTAATGTGCTGTTGTTCAGTTTCTCTCCCAAGTTCATTAATCAAGTAATATTTTGTTGTCTGTTCCTCCCAGAAGTTGTACCAGTGGACTTTTTTAAAAGCCGCAAACTAAACGATGATGGATTTTGTTGCTTTAAGATTTGCTTTTTTAAAAAAAAGGTCCCACCACCAAACTATTTAAAGATCTTGGGGAGAAAGATGCTGTAGCAAATACTGCAGAAACAACCTACAATGACATATCCATTTTGCAAGTTTAGTTACCTGAACTGTGGAGTCTTCATAATGTGCTGAACTTTTGCTGTCTTCCCCCATATCTCTGTGTACAATAGCTCTTTCCTGTTGCTGGAACACTCCAATCTACCCCAATTGTCAGTAGCTACTGATGCTCCATGAAATTCTGGCCATGCAGAACATTTTTTGGTGCTTCAGTGCGTCTTGGGGGCTGTCTGAAATTACTTGCGAGCTGGCTTGCAGTTTGCCACCCCAGATTTGTACACATCTGCAGCTCTTTGCACCCAAAATTCATGTGTGGGCACTCAGTGGTAAAGGAGTGGGGCTGTTTTGCTCACCGAACTCCAACATCAAGCTATTTGTACAACCCAACAATGGCCAAGTGCTGAGCATGGTTGTTTTAAGAGGAATTTGTGTGCATGACAGCTGTTCAGATAGAAGCCTGCTTGACATGCCTTGCTAAGCCTAAACTATCACTTAGTGTGAATGTAGAGGTTCCCAGAGACCGCAACCAACTTTGCTCCTACTTGGATGGAGCCAACTAACCTTGGTTTCAGCTCATGGTTAAGTCTGAAGAGTGTTAAACCATGAGCATGGATGGCATGCTAAATCAAGCCCAGCAGTGGAATGAGGAGGAAAGAGCAAAGCTGCTATGATCTCCTCTCATGGAGCCTGCCCACTTATGCATTCATGCAAAGTCCTGGGTTGGCTTAGCACACTGTGTGAACCTAGTCAGCCTGCCCCTTCTCCAACACACTTAGTGCCCTTCATGCAATATTTTGAATAAAGATTATATTGACTGATACTTTCCATTTCCAAAAAGTAGGCAGGGCTTAAAGATTAAATTTGCTGCAAAGCATGAGCAAAGCACAATACTTCTATCCAGCCATTTTGAGTTTATTTCCATTAGGAAAGCGGTATTCTCTTAAAGGAATTTCATGACAAAATTCAGCTGGGACAAATGCATGCAAGCGGAAAGCAGATCAATATGGGATTGAC